TCGTCAGAGTCGAGGGCGGCGACGGCGGAGGAGCGGTCGCCGAGGCGGTGGGCGGCGAGGACGGCGGCGAAGCTCAGGGCCCTGTTGTGGGGCAGGGATGCGGGAGGGGACAAAATTGGGCGCTGCGGGCGCACGGCAGGCAGCGACTGCGCGGGCCCGCTCGGCAAGGGCAGGGGCCCGAGCCCGTGAGCGCCTGGGGAAACGCGGCGCCGCGCGCGCACCGTCCGAGGTAGATCGCGCAGTTGTACGCCGCCAGCGCCGTGCTCTTGTTGTCGGGGAACAGATCCGGGATCAGGCTGAAGCTGACCGGGTTCTGCGCCGCCTGCGCCGCCGCGAACCCGACGCGAGTCAGCAGCAGGTCAGAGAAGCTTCCCGCCTTGGACGCCGCCATGCTGAGCGCGCTCCAGATCACGATCCCGACGGCGAGCAGCTTCGGGCGCGACACGCGATCTGCCAGAAGTCCAACGGGCACGAGCGCCAGGGCGTAGAGGTATGAGTAGCCGCTGGTCAGCATCGCCCCCTGGAAGTCGGAGAGGCGGAGATCCGGCGAGATCATTGGCAGCATCGCCGGCAGCGCGAAGCCGGTGGTCGCCTGGTGGACGTAGGAGATCCCGAGGACGAACAGCGCCCAGAGCTTCGCGCTGTCCATCGAGGGGGCCGCGGGCGCTGCCGCTGCCGCCGCCGCCGCTGGTTGAGCTGCTTCCGCCGGCGCCGCTGTTGCTGTTGCTCCTGCTGCCGCGGCCGCTGCCTGGGGAGCCGCGGCTGCGGCCACAGCGGCCGGCACCACGGCCGCCTCCTGGCGCTGCGTCGGCATCGCCGGCGCCGCCGCTGCCGTCGTCGCCTCTGCCGCCGCCTCCGCAGCTGCAGCAACCGCGCCTGGGCTGGCCTGGGCTGGCTGCGCCGCCTCTGCAGCTTCCGGCGCCGCGTTGGTCATCGCGGCGGTCAAGTCCTGCTCCAACCGCTCCAGCTTGTGCAGCACATCGGTCAGCTGCTGCGTAGCTGCTCACGGGGCCATCCGGGCGTGGTGGGGGCGTCTCTCAGGGCGAAGAACAGAGTGGGGCCAGCAACAGCACCCGGAATTCAAAATCCGGCGGGGACAGCTACGCCCTCAACACAGCGTCATGCACCCCCAAGACCCCGCGAGCGCATCGCCCCACAACGCCAGCTTAAACGCCCCCCAAGGGCGTTGGGCTGGGGGTGGGGTTTGGGTTGGGGTTCGGGGCGCAGAGGTGTGGTGTGGGGGCGGGGATAGGGGTATAGGGGGGGAAGGCTCACCTTCCTGCCCGAGCCCCAGCTCTTGCGCCGCGGTGGTTATGACCTTCGACAGGTCAGCCTCCAGCTGCTGCGCCTCCTCAACTGCCTGCGCCAGGCTGGCGATCTGCGCCTGGCTCGCGCCGCCGCCGCCGGCGCCGAGAGCGGCTGGGGCGGTGTTGGGACCGTCGTCGGGGCCCCGGCTGCCCGCGCCGCCGCTCGGGCCGGTGCCCGGCACTGCGGCGGCCGCGGCGGCGGGAGCGGGCAGGTCCAGGGTGCTGGTAGCTGTTGGGGCCGCGGCGTTGGCCCCTGCACCTGCGCTGTCTGCTGGCGGCGGCGGCGGCGGCAGCTGCTGCTGCTGCTCCTGCTGCTGCTGTTGCTGAACAAGTGGCGCCGCCGCCGCCGCCGCGGCGGGCACCGGCCAGGCCACGGCGGTGCCGGGCGGCTGGCGGGCCGCGACCGACGCGGCGAGCGCGGCGAGGGCGGCTGCGTCCGCGTCGTCGGCTGATGAGAGGTCGAAGGAGCCGTCTTCTTGATCCGCCGAAGCCTCCACCATGCTGCGCGCGGCCCACAGAACCTCGTACTCGTTTTGGAGCAGCTCCCGCGGCCCTGGGCTGTCCTCAGTCGGCGGCGGCGGCGGCAACGGCGGCAGCGGCGGCGGCGGCGGCGCCATCGCCGCGGGCACGGGCATGGGCGCAGGCGGCTGCTGGTGTGGCGGGTCGGGTCGAGGCGCAGCCGGCGCTATCGAGGCGGGCCATGACTCAAGGGGTGGAGGCGTGTCCGCGCGGGTGTCGCCGCCGTTGACTTCCGCACCCCGCGCGTCGGCCGCGGCGACGTCCACGCTGCTTGGCGGGACAGCCCGGCTGCTGCTGGCCCTGCGCCGCGCCGCTGCGCCCCACCGCGCGTTGCTCGACACCGGCACCGGGCCGGTGCATGCCGCACCCCACCAGGACTGCGCCCTCTGACCACTCGCGAAGCATCTTGTCACGCTCATGCAAGTGTTCTGCATCTCTGCACACGCTTCAGACGCCAGGTACGTTCCCCATTGTGTTGATGATGGCGGTCTCTGGCACTCGGCTCAGCGAATAATGTTGCTAGATGTAATCCATGCAGCTTACATGTACCTGATGGTTCCTGAAGCCATGATCCCACGACCCTTCCACGCTGTGTGACGCGGCTAGTGCTTTTCCTGGCCCAGGTGCTGCTACTCGGCCCTCTAGGAACATCAATTTCAATCGGTGTAGCTAATGAGTGTACAACCCAGCATGGATGCTTGTGTGTTGGTGCCGAACAAAGATCTCTCGTTGATTGTAGCAAGAGCATGTGGTTTGATTGCGTGGAGCAGCACCCTTGTTCTGCCCACATCACGAGCCAGATGCAAAATCCTCACATACCCTTGGGCTTTTGCATGACAGCAGTGCAGCCTGGTGCCTGCGGTCAAAACGGGAGTCAACTCATCACCCAAATTAACCGCAAATCCACTTGCGCTGCCTCCAGAGGGCCGTGACATCGTACCACCCTGGTGCAGGCACTCACAGACCCTACTAGAATTGATAGCAGTGCATTCTGTGCACCAATGAAGTGTGCGGGGCGAAAGTGAGAGTGGCCAGGCAGAGCGAAACGGGGAGTAGAGAGGGGTGGCAGGGCGGTGTGTGGTGAAAGCAGTAGACGCTTTCAAAGCAGGGGGTGAAGGGCGGGACTCAATGCTTCAAGTATCAACGGGGCCATTCGAGGGGCGCCGCCTTAGCAGTTCAAAAACATACCCATGTTCCAAGACGAGGGAGGGCACAGTACCCTCGACTGTGGTCAGCTGCCCGGCAGGGCCCCTTCGGCGCCAAGCCGGCCCCCGCGGGCCTGACGCCAGGCCTGGCAGCCGCGAGCCCCACCGATGCAGCCGCGCGGCGCGGCGCGAGCCGCCGCAAGCAGGCCCTTATCAGCAAGGCAAAATCCGACCCATGCAAGGCGTGCGGGGCGCCGCAGACTGCCGAGAGGAGGGGTGAAAGGCGGGCTCGACGGGTCGCGCCATGGGGTGCGCATGCACAACGGAGCCTACAGATGCAACTCAGCGCGGGGCGCAGGGCTGGGGTTCAGACAAGGGCGACGCGATGCGGAGGATGCGGGGCGGCAGGAGCCGCGGGGTGGCGGCGGCAAGTGCACAGGCGGTCTAACGTGGGTGATGGGGGCGATAGGGGCGGCTGCCGCGGTGGTCGAGATGTGAGGGCTGGAGGCCGGGTGCCACATAGGTGCGGCAGGTGTGAAGGAGGCGGAGCAGAAAATCCAGAGCCGACAGACAGGGGTGAAACACCGGCCAAACGCGCGGGCCGGATGTGAGCCGTGAGTGGGGGCCGCATGGGGTGCGGACGGGAGTGATGGGAGCGCCCTCAGTGGCTGCCCAAGCGCGTGCTGCGCATCGCCGCGCGTGGAACGCAGGCGCGGCGCCGCAGGTTTGAGGTCACAAGGGGGGAGGGCGCAGGGATGCATGGAGGCGGCAGCTGCCGGGGGACGGTGATGCGTGGTGCCGCGGCAGCGGCGCGTCTGCGGCACGCAGCATATGATCCAGATGGTGTCGTGCGCCGCACCACCGCCGCCTCTTCGCACAAGGCCTGAACGGCGGCGCCGGAAGCGATACGGCAGGCGGGCGCTGAAGCGCACGCTCGCTTGCGGCTGAAGAGAAGCGGTGGTACAATACAATCTTGCACAGAGAGGCAGCACAGGCCCAGCCCACGGCCCGCGCAGTGGGGACGCGGCGCGGGCCTTGACAAAGCAACATGCGGATTGACGCGATGGGGTGCTGGGGAGCCGGACAGATGCAACGGGCCAGGAGAAGGGGGGGGAGGGGGGGAGAGGCTGGAGGGCTGGCGCCGTCAGCCCCCGCTGCGACACGCCAGAACACCCAGCGAAAACGGCGAGCGCTGTGGCCCTCATTTCTGAGGAATGGCCCGGGATCGAGGGAGTGTCCGAGGCTCGATACTAGCAGGGGACAGGGCGCAGCTGTCAACCCTGGAAAGGCTGGGGTCGTACGCCGCGCGCGCGCACGCGCGTCTGTGCGCGAGCGCGCCCTGCCCCGGCGCAGGGCGCAGGGGGGGGCTATGGCAGCGGTTGGTCGCTGGCGCCGCTGCCATCGACCCGCAGCTGCGACATGTCTAGCAACTCAGGCGGGGGCGGCCCCTGAAGCCCCGCGCCCGCGACGCCTTCGACGCAGCCGCCCGCGCGCGGCCCCACGTCCACCGGCGGCGGGATCGCGACCACGTACTGCTTGTGCGCGCCCGGCTCGAGGAACGAGCAGTCGGCCTCCGCGCCAACCGCCTCCCCCGCGCCCGCCGCGGCCGCGGCTGCGGCGGCGCGGGCTTGGACGATCTGGCGCCACCCGCCCCACCGTGACGCGTCCGCGCCGCGGCGCTCGAATTCCTGCAGCTGCGCCGCGAAGCCCGCGTTGGGGCTGACGACCGGGCGGCTTCCGCGCAGGTGCGCGAGCGCGGCGCGGTACGTCATGCTGCGGCGTGCCATGAGGTACCCGATGACGACGGCGGCGGAGCGGGAGGCGCCGCCGGCGCAGTGCACGAGGACGCGGCCTGCGGTGGGGGC